TTGGAAAAGGCATGAATCTACCTGTTCTGTTTTTTAGTCCCATTGAAAAATATCTTGTTTCATTAATGGTTGATGGACCAGACAATAAATAAGAATTTGGACAAGGCATGAAGCTTCATCTATATTACATAAAGAGGAAAAAAACAGCTGAAAGATTTAATCCTTCTTTTCAATCCATTAAGTTGATTAGTATCAATATTTTTCTTGGGAGTCTCCATGATTATTCTAGTGTAAAGTTCTCTTTTCAGATTTGCCATCAATTGTCTCATTGCATTCTAATTAAATCCTAATCTCATCCTTGGTTTGAAATCTGCAAACTGCCTTCCATCAGTATGACTAATGCTAACCTCCAAGGTGAAAAACTCTTGGTGTATTCTGGGGCTCATGTTTTCTATTGACACAAAGTGCAATGAATGTAAATGAATTGATTTTGCTATGTATGCTGTTAAGAAAGGAGATTCTGTGTCATGCCAGACAATTTTTCTCATCAGAACCCATCTTGCACATTTATAAGTCTACCATTCATCTGTGCATTGAATATTGCTACCATATCTAGTCTGTTGCTCCTGCCATAGATCTAACAAAATTCAAAGAAGAGTCTGTAATGTTATTAGTCCTGATCTGGCATCTCGACTTCAGTCACATCCCACCCCTGTGATATGGCTTCCCTCTGTCTTTTCTATAAATATTTTCATGGCAACTATTCTGATGAGCTTTCCTCCTTGGTACCTTGACTGCATGAATTTAAGTGTACTACTAGATTGGCAATTAGGTCCCATCATTTTACTTTTGAACTAGATAAATATACTAATATTTTCTTTTCTTGCACTTATCACCTCTGGAACTCCCTTCCAGGTTCTTGATTTCATGCCACCTACAAGTTTCAAAAACTTAAATGCAATGTCAATTGCCATCTTCTATCTTCCTGAACCCTGTTCTTTTATTGTCGTTTCATTTCACTAAAGTCTTCTCATTCTTTTTCACACCCAGTAAACCCTTGCATCTTGGTGACATTATTGCCTTGCTTGGGGTGAAATGATTTTTTTAAAAAAAATCTCAATAGTGGGAAAAGCCCAAAATCAGAGCCAAAAACTGCACTGTAGAGGGAAGGACAAATCTGGGTAATGAAGTGCTTTGCAAAAAAAAAAAGACCCATGTAAGACATCATCATGAATGCAACACTGAATGAGTAGACAACTTCTCCCAATACAACATCACTGCCATCTGAGTAACCCTACAGGAGAGTATCTATTTCAGTATGTGAATTGAAGTCCTCTCTACCTCAAGTGTTTGCAAAATTATATGAAGCTGACAACCAGTTTTCAAAATATCCAAAATGTCTGGATATTTTATTCTAAGCAAATGTTTTACTGTCATACAGTGAAAACAAAACAACTTCATTCATTTTCTAAATTAAATTATTAAAAATAATTCCTTTTTTTTCCCCCAATACTTTTTTTTGTGCAAAACTGGAAGCTGAATGAAAAATGCGTAAACTGGAGCAGTGATAACATGAATAAAATGAAACTACCTGTTTACACCTGCTCATAACATCAACAGACTTCATGAATGGATATAGTTATGCTTATCAATTTACTTATCCCTTTACATTTCGACCAGCTATTTCCAAGCCAACAGCTGTTGTATTAACAAGGCCAAACAAAAGATGACAACTCCTCTCTCTCTCCTCAGTTCTGTTAGCCTACGTACACTTTGGCTTTACATATTTTGTTATTATATCGATTTCTCAAGTCAGTCAGTCAGCAGGAGAGAAAATCAAAATTTAAAAATAATTAGTCAAGACAAAATATCACAAAGATATTTTTGTGTGCCCCAAATATTTCTGTTCTAAGATGAAGTTACAGTATAAAAAGAAAAATCATTCATTGCTTATTATGAGGTTGATGAAAAATCACAGTGGCATCTTTTGTACAATGTTAGGGAAATCTTAGATGCGTCTTTAATATTTACTTAGCTCTTCACTGATTCTGCAATCAGTCAACTATGGTATCTTGTACAAGCCTTAGTAAAAAATTCAAAAGATAGAAAAAATATGCTTTTCATGAATTTATGAAAATTAATCTGAATCAGTATTTAAATATTTGTCATTTATTTTTTTTTCTTGACACAGAAAAAAAAAAATCATTTTTAGACAGAATAGTCACAGGTGATGAAAAATGGATTTTTTATGAGAACTGAAAATGAAAAAATGTCATGGCTAGATCAAGCCTTTAACTGAAATGGAATCAAATAGAAAAAAATATTATTTTCTGTATTTAGTGGGATTCAAAGTGAATTGTTTATTATAAATTGCTAGAACCTGAACAAACCTATTACACAATGCTACAATGAGTATCTGGCTTATTCAAATTACACATTGAAAAAGAAATTCTGAACCAAAGACTGAGGTCAGTGATTTGGTTGCATGGTCACAACTATGTTCATGTGGCAAATGCAATACAGTAAACCACCATGGAGCCAGAAAAAAAAATTGTTTTTTTTCCACATGTAGTATATTTCCCAGATCTGTCACCTTCAGACTATCACTTGTTTTATTCCACGTAATTCTACATGTAATTGTTTTATTCCACGTAATTCTACATGTAATTGTTTTATTCCACGTAATTCTACATGTAATTGTTTTATTCCACGTAATTCTACATGTAATTGTTTTATTCCACGTAATTCTACATGTAATTGTTTTAATTCTACATGTAATTGTTTTATTCCACGTAATTCTACATGTAATTGTTTTATTCCACGTAATTCTACATGTCCAGATCATGGTTCCAAAAATTCTAAAATCTTTCTTGGAAAAAAAACAAACAAAAACAGTGAATCAAAATGATAGTGATCTTTGATGACGTAATACACATTTGTGCTGTAAACCAGAGAAAACAATTTGTGAAGTGAATAAAGATGCTATGGATTTATATAAATAAAAGATTTTGTTAAATTAAAATGCAACCAACTTTTGAATCAATCAAATATTTTAATCCCACTTAATAAGAGCCATCAAACACTTTTCAAAATAAAGATGACAGTTATTTTAAACTTCTGTTCAATTAAAAATTTAATTTTCAATCTGTCTTTAGTTGCTTTAAATCACTTGCTTTTAAAAATAGGAAATCAAAACAAATGTTACAAACTGTATAAGAATAAAGCAATCCAATAAAAAAAAAAATCAATAATTAGATTAGTAAGTAATCATTTATTTGATTGTCTATTTATGTTGAATGATGGATCCATTTTCTACAGCTTATCAACCCATTGCAGGTTATTTAAAGCCAGAAAATATTTTTAGATAAGAATGGTTTAATGATACAAGTCTTAAAAATCTATCTCTACTCCCCCAACTATGGGTTGAGTAATAGGACAGACTGGGTCCTATCACCTTGGTTGGCAACCAGTCTCTTGCAGAAAGAAATGGTTATTGTGGGGAAAATCTGCCTAGTAAGTCATGAATCAAAATAGACATGATCAGCCAAGTGTGTATCATATATGGCACTTAACTGACTAATCTGTCAGTGTCTATTTTCTTAACTAAATTCCTACTAAGTGAAAAAAAGGAAAAGTTTTGCTTGTTAATTTTTTTTCAACTTCTTCAGAAATAGCACACAAGTATAACTTACTTGTAAAATCCCACTATAGAGGAGTTTTGTCTTGCTTCAATTAAAACCATCAAATGGAAACTTAGCTTGACAGGTTCAAACTATAATAGTGACAACTTATATTTTTATATATATATATATATATATATATATATATATATATATATATATATAATAATTAGATAAGAATCATATACAATAATAAACAGAGTAACTTTTTTTTTCTGTATTTTTTTGTAACTTCTGTTATGCTAATGAAGATATAAAATTAGTAAATCTTTCCTTGATTTGAACTTTTGACCTTGAGGTAAGTAAGAAACATACATCAGTGTTCTTGCTTTACAAGTAGTAGGGTAAAATTAACTTATAAATACTGAGTTAGACAGAGTGCACAGATACTACACTGATTTAAATATTCATTCCTGATAAAAATACATAATTTGGCACAAGTCCTGAAAATAACTTACACTTTCATGCAAATCAGACACATAAACAATTGATTCATTGACTGCCAATGGAATTCTATATGCACAGCTTAACATATTTACTATAAATGCCGGCATGCAAGGCGATAAAGGTTGTTGCATAAACAGTGTGCTGGAGCAGATCACACAACTGGTTTCTTTTTGCAAAACCTTTTTGGTTCTGGGAAGTGTTCCAAGGGGTGGGGACTCTTCACCCAATGACACACAATTGAACCACCACCTTCGTTCCCTCCATATTTCTTTGGTGAGATGTAAGTTCCACTCAAGCAGTTTCTTCCATGAATCACTGCCTTGTGGAAACGACTCAAGAGGTTGGTCCTCCAATCACTAAAATCAACCTGTCTAAGGTTAACTGTCATCTTTCGCACATATCTGTATAAGCTGTACCTCTGTAACCCTCTACCTCTGTAACCCTCTACCTCAACTACCTTCTACGCCTTGCACAGAGTCAACATCATTATAAAAAAAAAAAAAAAAGCACAAACCAAAACACTGATATCCTCCTGGGTTAGTTTTTGCTTGTCACATCTCATCTTCACATTTTACTGATGCTTGAAATATGCCATCAGCTCAACGTGAGACCATGTCTTCATGTAACATCACATTTTACACCCACAGCCGTTTCACATGACCATTCTGAATACAGTTATGTAAGAAATGCTGTGCACTTTGGGTCTTCCCAAAAAGAACCACTCTGTTCCATATGCAGGAGATGTCTAGGGCGATGTAACTTTTGGGTTTCATGTGGGTGACCCCCCCCTCCTCCCAAATAATATGAGCTCAGCCATCTCTTCCAGATCACTGTATATCTCACACTCAGGTGATTTCACTACCTCACCTACTGAACTTGTTGTCATTAACTCACTGAGCATTTCATACCAACCTTCAGGTGATGGAGGCATAAGACCATATCATGATGAAACACCGGTTTTCATACAATCACCAAAGTTAAGCAATGTCAAGCCTGCTCAGTACCTAGATGGGTGACCATTTGGGAATACAAAGTGGCATAATGGATAACAACTCCAAATTATCAAGTTCATTACACTCACTTATATGCAAATACCATTACAAAAGTTATGAACCCATCTCCCTCCAGCTATGGGTTAAATAATAGGACTTCTATGTGAAAATCATCTTGAAAAAATTGTTAATATTCACTAGCAAAAAAAAAAAAAAAAAAAAAAAAAATATTCTTACAATCCAAAGATATGGTTTGGCTTTAAATAATCTACAAAAGTTTGATAAGCTGTAAAAAAACAAATCAATCTATCAATTCAGGTGATGGAGAACCCAGTTGGTGAGAATGTCAGACCCAGTCTGACTGAGGATTGTCCTGGGCAAGGGGGTCTATATTTTCATCCCCAGCAGACTGCACAGATATTACATTGATCCTAGCTTCATCTTCAATATAAGACTATAATTTCTCTTCCATTATTGCTTAGACAAGAAAAATATGTGTGCTTTGAAAAAGCAATTTCACAGAACAATCCACCTCCCACCATACATTTTCTACTTTTCATTAGAAACATACCATGAACAAATGTTCTACTAATGTTCCCTCAATACAAGGCCAAAGAGCCACAAGGTAGAGGGTTACTGTGTGAACTTCTATGAGTGTAAGTAAAAGCACAAAAAGGAAGTTCAAGGGTTATGCAGTAAAGATAATCCTAGACTTGAAGAAATCAACATTGTTGTGATTGGGAAAACATTCTGCATGGAGTCTGTTCTACAAAGCAGCTATTCTTGGGAAGAAGCTGAGTGAAACTTCCTCCTTACTAATGGAATACAAAGGGGATGGGGATGGTTCCCCTTTGTCATGGCAGGTCTCAGCTACAAAAGGTCTGGGTTGGTGGAACTAAGGAATGTAATGTTGCTTGTCAGAACATGTCATAGAAATAACAATAGTAATGAGAATCTTGTGATGTTTCACTTCTGGGAAAGGGATTGTTGGGTGGAGAATAATCCATCACCTACAAGTCTGTGTAGACACTTGACTATCAAGACAGACAAGTGAAGACTAGGCAACTCTAGTCGACAGCAATACTTCATTTTTTACTTTTATTTATGTTATAGATGAAAATAAACCATGTAAATAATGACAGTATATTTTTAATTGACAAAGATTGTAAAAATAACGATTTTTTAATTATACATTTCTTTTTGTCATATTGCCTGTTATCTTTGACTTCTCATGACCTATGGCAATTCTTCAGGCCCTGGTGCTGCATTACTTTCCCTCAATTTATTTCAGTCAGGGAGGTGGGGTGCATTTTTTTTATCAATATTAAATAAGTTACAACATATTGTTACAGAATGCAGAGGCTAGGCCAGGATGGTGAATGATTGGTCATAATACCTTGTGGTATTCTGACAGTGATGGATTGCTTTTAAACTTTGGATAAAAAGTCAAAACAGTATGAGGTCAGCAGAGGATCACAAGAATTTTGAAACATTGACATGTTTTCTACACCCAGATTACTTAGAAGGACTAGGGTGAAAATGGTGGTCATGTGTTCCCTTGAAGTTCTTCCAGCTGCCTTTTTAGAATTGATGAAACCATGTCAATCAATCTTATATAATAAAAAAAGAAAAATAAATCACCTTTGTTGATATCATCTATGAAGTGCAGTTGTGGTTTGAGGGGCTGAAGCCAGTGACAACATTGAATGCAAAAATATTAAGTAAATCACCACTCAAAAGTTAGCTTTATTTTTGATCTTCACCAATACCAACCAACAACAAGATGTTTTAATAGAGTCATAGTTGATGTCATCTAAAAAGAAGTGCTCTGTGTGGTTGCAATCTTTGCAAAAAAAAATAAAGTGATACTTGTCTCATACGGCAACAATACTACTGGCTGCATCCAGTTTTAATGAATCCATTCTAACATTACCAAATGATAAAGATGATGAAGCCTCAAGCCTTTGATCTTGGACTGATCAAAACAGTTTCAATCTAATTTGAATTCTTATGCCATCTACTATTGGATGTGTAGAAAATAGAAATAGAAAGTCAAATTAAAATTTTAGTCTAGTATATTTATTTTCACACTAAAGACTTTGGGAAAGACATGAATACATTTTTTCTCCTTTCATCTATGGGTTAAACAACAGGGTAGAAAATATTCTCTAGCCTTGAGTGGCAGCCAGTCTAAGTCAAGAGAAAGAACTAATCTGAATTCAAAATCCATAGACAAAGCAATTGAAAACCATTCCATTATATTTACTGGGAAATCATGGCAATTCATTGATAATAATAAAAAAGGAACCTGTGAAGAATCATAATGACTTACATCCCAAAGGAACGTTATTTTAAAAATAAAACTATCATTTCTAGTATAGCACAAAAAGATTTTCAAGCAAAATGAATTGAAAATCTTTGACCAATACAAAAATAATTAAATATAGAGTATCGTCATCATATCTGAGTTGCAGCTGCCCAGTTTTCACTAGCCTGTCTTGATAGAGTTCAAAAGCATCTAAGCAGACTTGTGGCTGATGAATTATTTTCCACTCGACAACCTCTTTCCCAGAGATGCAATGTTGTGCGCCTCTTACTACTTTATCATTATTTCCATGTCATGTGTTCTGATGTGTTACATTCCTTGGTCCAACCAGCCTTGACCATTGCAATTGGGATCCACCATGCCAAGTACACAAGGATGAATATCCTCATTCCCTTCATCTTTCATTAGTAAAGAGGAAGGTCCACTCAGACAGTGTCTTCCAAAAGAACTGCTGCTTTGTGGAACAGATTCTCGGCAAGATGTTTTCCCAAATATGACAATCTTAACTTCTTCAAGGTGAGGGTTAACCATTATCTTTCCTGCATTACTCCATGAACTTCCCTTCCAGCTTTTTCATATGCTCATAGAACACTACACAGTAACACTCTACCTTGAGTGGCTATTAGACCTTGTATTGGGTGAACATTAGTATAAAAAATAATTTCTTAAATAAAGAGTGATGTTCATAGTCCAGTTGAAAACAAAATTTATTGTCTTGAATATGAATAGCCAAATACATTTTATTTTTATCCTATGAGAAGTCAGTGAAAGAGATGCACTGTAAAAAGCTATTTGTTCTCCTATTTAGCCTAAAGAGTTGATATATTTATACATTTCAAAACTTTTCCCCAAATCAGGATATTGTAATAATAGATAGAAAGCTAAATTATTTAACAATATTCATACAAAATGATACAAGATGAATTTAGATCCTCAGCACTACAAAGTTTCACTTATTTGTGATTGACAAAGCAGTAAAATTTTGTATTTTAAAACTAAGTTAAAACTACTTTGAAATATATTTTTAAGGTGAAAAAAAAAAAAAAAAACCAACAAAACAAACAATAAAGTATTTAATAATAACATTTTTTAAAACTATAAAAACAGTAATTTAAATATCCCCAAACTCATCTGAGTCATCAGATCCCAAAAAGAAATGCTCATATTAATAATTATAATATGAATTGTATTAATATATTATTATGAATAACATAATAATATTGATATTCTTATGAATAATAATAACAATGAACTGATGCTACACCAGGCCTGACTCATTGTTTTTGATCTTAATTGGTGGTGTTAACATATACATGTTTTTTTTTTGTCTTGGTGAATTAAAATGGGCCACAGTAAATATTACCATTCAATACCACAGATTTGCTTGTCAGTTGCATGACCTTAATCAGTTGGGCATGTCACTTAGGTGGTGACACAGTGCATCTATTTATGACCAGGTGTAGTGGGTAAGCATATGACTGTATCAAGTGGGGTGTCTTTTTTATTGTCAAGTTTGAATGATGAGTCAGCAAAGGCAACTTTGGATTCACATCTAGATACTTGGGAGCACCCTCAACTGGAGACTGTCTGAATAGACAGGCTTACCCGACTTGAAGGTATTTTTATAACTAGGCTTTACCTGCAAAATTAAATGCTGCTTTTATCAAAACCTGTTACCATATCAAATATTTGGCTGTGATGAATGTGCCTAGTATACCCTTATCAAACAGCGTTTTATGATCAGTATATTAGGCTTCATATATTTGTACCAATCATTTTATTAACATACTACTCCCTCAATGATATTACTATGAATAAAAATAGTATTCTAGTTATACCTATTGTAGTTATATAATTTGTAGGTCTGATGAATTGGATCATGATTACAATTTCAATGTAATAAATTATAACCATAGAATATTAGTATTTGAGCCTTTTTTATTATATATTTTTCAAACAGGTTTGGTTAAATAATTTAGACATATATCAATTAGTTTTCATTGTGATCCTTTCAAGTGTTTGGGTTAAATTTTTGGTAGATTTAGAAAACCGAGTAAGAAAAGTACCGAAATTTTCTTTTGAACAGTTTTAATTTTCCCAAGTACTTTCAATCTCATCCGAGACCATCTCCAGGGAGTTAAGTTGTCTGTGAGTATGTATATGTGTTTCTGTGAATTTAAAACATTTTAACTGTTTGTTTTTTTTTTGTTTTTTTTTTTTTACTGCTTATGCAGCATTCTACATTTCAAAGTTCAAATGTTCTTTTGTTTTTCCAGTGTAAGGGGGAGTAACTTTTTTTGTTTTGTTTATACATATATAATTTTTTTTTCATAAGCATTTAACAACTTTGTTCCTCTACTCATAGTTGACTTTATTTATTTTGGGCTTTAACTCTCTTATATAAAGGGTTTCAAGGATTTTTAGTTTTTACTAATTGTTTTTATGTAATATAGATGTATTTTCAACTAATATCTGTCTAATCTGTGAGTGTGGGCATGAGTGCTCCATTAAGTGCTGATGTATTAAGCTTTGTTCAGCCAAATGAAATGTAAGTCTTTTAATTAGTATCATTGTAGTAAAGCTAACATATGTATTGACATTTTTATCAGAGATACAATCTCCTAAAGGACATTTAAATTGATATACAATGTTGGCTTTTTGCAAGATGCTAGTTGGCAGAGAATAGTTGTTTTGGACAATTAGGTTGGTTGTAATTTA